GGGACCTCAAGGAAGAACTTTGATGACCCCTTGTGGTTAAAAAGTGCCATTACAATGATATTCCGGCCTGGGTTGTTGGTTCCCCTCCTTCCTTGGGGGACCCCCGGCTCCCGATCGTTTGCGACGATGCTTTAGTAATAACAGCGCCTAAAAATCGAAGTCTTCAAGGGGCAGGCGGGGGCGGGGGAAGCAATACAAACTAGATTGTTTCCTCCCCCAGATAGCACCGGGTAGCCTGCGCGGTGGGGAGATCGCGGGGTTTATTGGCAGATGCCGGGATAAAAGGAGATGATCCGTGGACACGGGGAGAGAGAGTGTCACTCTTATGAAGCCACAAGTGCATATTTCCGGAAATCATGCACACTACACTATCTAATACACACCGCCACTTCAGGCGTATCCGCCGCCTGGCGAGCTGGTGTAGAACGGGGGCCGTGTACTCTGGGCTGCCCCCCCCCCCCACACACACAAACACAAACACAAACACACACAGCGTTTGCTTTCGTACTCCCCGCCCAAGCCATCCCTGGCTGATTCGGCCCCTTAATAACGACAGCTGAGAATTGTTCCTAGACTCGGTAAACATTGGATTAGCTTTTCATTGCCCAGCCCTCTTGAAAAGGCCCGAACGACCCACGCCAGGTCTCAGCTAAGCCCAACAGTCAATAGGTAATGAAAGTAAGTTCTTTCCCTGGCTTAGAGGGGTTTCCACCTCATTACCAGGTTATCTGATTCTCCTCAATAGTGGCTCTGTAGACGCGAAGGGGGGTGACTCAGAGTCGAGCGAAAGGAGGGAAATTAACCCTAAAGCGCAAGTTTAACTATAATGTCCCTTGATTGGGTTGGAGTTGGGGGATTCATCCCGCATTCATTCATCGCCTTTTCTTTCCTGTCAGACGTGACTCTGGTTTTCCAGATCACCCACTGGAGGTGTAATGTGTTCCCCGTGTCTCCTACCAGTGGAAGGGTGACATATCTGTCTGGCCCGCCACAGGCGACTCTGAAGGAGGCCAATTAACATTTCTTCCTGTTGATCTATTTCCAGACCGCTGCAGTTTATGCCTTCCTCAACACAAAGCCAAAAAAAAACCCCCTTCCCAACACATCTGACACCGCGTAGGAAATCCGTCCGTTTCCCCGTCACAATATCACCCAAACCACACGAGGGATTGCAGAGTTTGTGTAGGCGTGTTACCACTCAAATAAAGAGAAATTGTCTGGTCGGTGTAGGAACCGAGTTAGCATTTTAGCCGAAAATCCTTTATTGGATTTGATTTTTTGTTGTGTTCTTTAAAAAAAAAATAATCAAAGTTAGCCCCTTCAGTTGTTCGCGCCCACCCTGTTTGCATTTAGCTCCTTGGCTGCTTCATTCATTTTCTACTCGCCCAAGCTACTCTCCGGAGCGCGGGGGGCATAGCGCGTCGCTTGTGCGCGGTCAGCCGCCAAGAGCTCCAGGTAAAGGCAGGAGGCCAGGTCTGGTGGCCCCGGTGGAGATGGTTAACCGCCAGCACCCCTCGCCCCAACCAGAGAAAGCCTTCCAGAGAAAGGAGCGGGATGGCGACTTCTCAAACTCGCCGGCCTGGAACAAGGAAACACTATCACAAGAAAGGGACAGTTCTCTGGAAGAGAACAAAAAGTGGTCAGTCCGCAGCGCTCTCCAGTTGCGCACGGAGGGAGAAGCCTGCATAACATTACACCCCCCTGTGAATGAAACCTTGTTCTCCCGGCAGAGGGGAAAAAACCAGCTCAGCGACCCGAAGTCAGCGGAACTACAATGCTGATCGGGGTGCATCGACTGCCATTTGCTTTCATTTTTATGGGCGAGATTTGTTTAGGCCCCGTGCAGATGCAGGAATTTAATTTCCTGTGAAATGAGAGACAAACTTGTCAGTAGGGCTGGAGAAAAGGAGGCCCTGTTATCCTTCCAAGAAGAGAGAGGGTTTTTCCCCCCCTCCCCCCCTCCCCCAGAATAGATATAGCACGAATTTTTAATTCGTCTTCCTTTCACAGACAACAATACAGGGTTTGAAAGCAGGACACAATTTGGGTTTTGTGAGGGTCAGCCCAGCTGGCCATATGGAATACAGCATGTCCAACATGGGGGACAATGGCTCCAAGTGACAGCCAGAACAAAACCCAAGGATACTTCTCCCTGACTCGGGGATGCACCGCTCCTGATAAACGAATTGAATGGCACTAGAAAGAACAGGGGGAGGATGGGGGAGGCCAGCACCGTCTCTCTCTCTCTCTCTCTTTCCCCCTACCCCTGTCCCCTCTGGGTTCTCTCTTTCTCTCTGCCCTCCTTAATATGTACGCCTCTAACATCCTTAACGACCAGCCTCCCGCATTGTGCTGTTTTGTGGTGGCTACTGTATATTGTGCAAAGATAGACTGCGCCAAACTGCCCCAGCGGCGTGTGAAATATAAGGCCACGGGGGAGGGCCACACAACTGGCTTGATAGACTTAATAGGGGCCAAGCAGAAAGTGACTGTTTCCCTCCCACTCGCTCTGCGCGGCGGGCGGAATTGGAAGAGGGGAAAGTGTCCTTCCCTGTAAAGTGGGCTCCTTTCGTCAGGCGCCGCCGAAACCTGTTTTCACTTCACGGGGAGCTCGGCCCCGCCTGGCTACCGAGATGGCAAAAAAAAAAAAAAATAAATCCTCAGACCCCCTGTTTGCAACGAAACGCTGCCATCCTTATGTATTTAGATCTCTCTCGCTTTGCTAATAATTATCAGCTTCCAGGATAGATCCTGCCACGGCAGAGCCGCGACTTGCCGTTTGCCAGCCAAGCTGTTGATGAGTGCCCTCGGCGTTGGAGAAACCCGGACTCATTTCTTGGGTTTTGTGTGTGTGTGTGTGTGTGTGTGGGGGGGGGGGGGTCGTGTAGAATAAGGTTTCATCTGAAGCAAAACCAAAAACAACCCCCCCCCGGCCCCCGCTCTGTGACTGCCTCCCGCTTGTCATGACAATTCAACATTAAGTGGGGAGCGACTAAACCAGGGGAAGAATTTAAACTGGTGTCAACTTTGCGCCTGAGTTTGGTAAGACACCATTGCAAGAAATGGCCATCACAGCTGGGACTCCAGTCCTGAAGCAGATCCGCGCATGGCTAGAAGACCCCCCCTCGCCAGCACTGTCCACGCAGAGCTGTGGGTCCCGCCGATTTTGTTACAGATAATCATGTTTGCGCGAGATATTGAATTAAATCTGATTATCAACAAGAGCGCGGCTGGTAATTCAGTGGGGACGGTTCAGTTTGCTTTTCCTGTTCCGAGCCCCCCCCCCCCCCCCCCCCCCAGCCCTGCCCCTGCAGTCCCTGCTGTTTGTCCAGCCTACAGCAAGGGAGACAGTTTCAGAAACGGAGAAGAATTTAAACAGCATGGTTGGAAAGAAGCCTCTCTATCCCAGACAGAGGGGCCAATTCATTTCGGGTCAACCCCAAGCATATTGGAGTATGTGTAAGCCTAAAAATCGTGTGTGCGTGTATATATTATATACAAGGGAGAGAGAGAGAGAGAACAGAGAGGCACAGAGTGTGTACCTATGATCCTAGATGTACACACACACGCATAACACACACACTCGCTTTCCAGCTGGATCTGTGTGTCCTTTAAACGCATATTCTAAAATGATCATGTAAATAGCCAGAAGAAGTTTTGCTTTAAAACACGCCTTAGACAAACTTTCCTACACAAGCCCACCGCATCTGGAGAACTCCCCCTATGTCGCGGCACCCCACAAATTCCCAATACGTGTTATCACAGGCAGAAGGGGATCTCCAGAGAGCCAGTCGCCCGGACGGAGATGACAACATTCCGTTTGGTTAAAACAGGTTCTAGGGCAAACTTTACATTGCAAATCCGACCGCGTTTAGGGAGAGCCCCGTGTGCCCCACGACTTGCCCCAAAGCGCTATCTGCCCGCAGGAGCAGAAAGGGGGTATAAAGTCATCCGCCAGCCGATACCCCCCTCCCGCCCCCATTCAGCCGCCTATCTACCGCTGCCGGCTAAAGGAGGACTTACAACTCTTCGGGCTCAGCCCGCTTAGATCAACCCCCGAGCAAAGGCAGGCCATTGAGACTAGACTGGAATCAAAAGCCCCTCCGCTGAAGGGTCACTCTTACATTTAAGTGAGTGGTGGGGCTTATTTTTTCATTTCCACAAAGTCACTACTCCAGCGCCTTTGTCTCTCCAGTAGACACAAGGAGGCAGGACGCAGAAGAAGAAGAGGAAGAGGAAGACAGGTATCTGATCGTTTGCAGAAAGTTTGGGGAGAGTGATTAAAGTTTCCCTAAAAGTTCTAAGAGGGGACGAAAGTCCGCCGAGCTGTTGCCTGGGAATCTGCCGCAGGCCAAGCACGGATTTCCGACGGAAGGGTTCATCATTCCCCATAAAACAACCAGCACCAGGAGAAGATCTCATTGATCGGACAATCAGGCGAGGCAGGCTCCCGCCTCCCCCCACAGGATCCCTCCAGTCCGTGTCGCTTCAAAGGGAGGGTTTTGCAGGTATCCCGTGGTAGCCACAAAGTCAAACAAAAACATTCTTTTGTTGTTGGGTTGGTTTTTTTTAAACAGCATTTTTATTAAAATTCCTATAAAAAATGGAAACCCTCCCCGTAGCGCCCCCCCCCCCCAAGTTTATACACAACGAGGAGCTGGAGATTTCTATGGAGCTGATCCAAACATTTCTTCTCCGTCTCCAGTTTCTTTGCTTGCTTAATGTTTGGGAAATCTTTGCACCCAACCAAAAGAATAAAATAAAATAAACCGCCCTGACTGTCACTTATGGCAACAATAACCACACATAGTTACAAAAAAAATTATTTTTTTTGCTCATAGTTGTCAGAATTTATACACGGCCATAAATAGGTAAAGGTTCATATAAAAAGGGAGATCAAATTCTCTAGTTTTAAAGTGTCCTCCACTTGTTTTATATACGACTGACAACAGCTGTACAGCACACAAAACGTACTTTACGAAATCACAAGCGCATACGGATTCATTCTTATTACTAGTAAGATTTTTATTTTTAGTTGTAGGTAGACAGGACCACTTTGCATGGCGCAAAAATCTCTGTAAACATGGCGCACAAAAACCACCCCCCAAAAGAAACAAATCGAACCCCCCCAAGGAGGAAAAATAGGAGAGGGGGAAAAAATGCACCATCATTAATAATAATAATTAATATTCATATTGTCTTCCCCCCCCCCCGAGGTTTGATTTTGGAGCCTCAGTTTCTTGTCTCGGCAATGTTCACCAAGTCCATTGTTGGGCTTGCACCAAATGATGCGCTGTCGGGTACTGGGGGTTGCTGGCGGAGCTGTACTGGGCGTTATATGGCATGTGCTGGAGCGATTGGGCGCTATAGGCGGAGAAGGGGATCCCAGCCTGGAAAGTGGCCGCGGCTAAGTCCTGAGCTTTGAGCGTGTGGCAGGGTTTGCCGTCCCTGACTAAGACGGGTACTGCTACCCGGCGTGGGGAGGGGAGAGGAGTCACTTCCATACCTTTCTCAGCCCGGGCCCTCTTCATCTTGTACCGGTGGTTCTGGAACCAGATCTTCACCTGGGTGGGCGTGAGGCGGATGAGGCTGGCCAGGTGCTCCCGCTCGGGGGCGGACAGGTACCGCTGCTGTCGGAACCGTCTCTCCAGCTCGTAGGTCTGTGCCTTGGAGAAGAGCACCCGCCTCTTCCTCTTCTTGCCGGAGTCGCCGGCGCTGGCCGTGTCCTTGTCGTTGTCCGGGGATTCGTCGGCCGAGGGGTCGGGGGATTTGGTGGAGGAGTCGTGCTGGGAGTTGCTGGAGGCCAGCCCGTGCACTGCAGAAAGGCCACCGAGAGCATAAGTCAGAGGGGTGCTGCCGGGGGGCCGGGGGTCCCCGCCCGGGGGCACCTGCGGCTCTGCTCTCTACCCTCCCCTGCTCCAGCCGGGAAATGCAGCGAAATCGCCCTCGTTTTCTCTACCGTGGGGAGGCAATCTCCCCAGGGGGGCACCAGCTACCCCCCAAATCCCGCTTGGGCTGAGGGAGCGCGGCTTTCCCCGAAAACAAATGAACCCCGCGAGGAATAGGCAGTTGCCTCCTACACTCCCCCAGAGCAGCAAACACCGGAGGAAAAGTAAACGACGACACACAACACACTATGCCCATGTATGTTCCCAATGATATGGCCATCTGCGACACACGTGTGTATCTGTACAGCTATCAACATATATAAATACCTGGAGATGGGAGTTTTATATTAGATAGCTTGTGAATATGAATATATTTATATATACACTCACGTTCATAATTACACACACTTTTAGATGCATGTAGACGTTCATGTGCATGTCTACAGATCTATTCACCCGTCGGTCTGTATGCACATTACAAGACAGCCACATCGATCCGGATCACAAATTCCTCTATTCCTCACCTAACGTTGCATCTCTTTTACATCTATTGGACTTTGGACCTCAAGCGATTTGCTGGGGGAGGGGAAGGGGTACGTGGATTGATTTTTAAAGGATAATTTAACAGTCCCTTCATTGATCTCCACAGCCGCCCGGCCATTGAGACATTTCTGAACTGTCTACACCAAAGCGATCCAAAACGGCCACACAAGGCTCGCTCTGTTTGATTTAGCAAACTCTGTTCTTGCTATTTTTAGATCGCTGGAGGTGACTTTTGCTTTTCTTTCCCTAGGCTGGGTTGATTTCTTTCTCTCTCGTTCTAAAAAATAAATACATAAAAATAAACCCCCCCCCCTTGGGGAAAGATGAGGCTTCCAAAACCTTGTTTTTTATACCAATCGAATCAAACCCAAAGAAATCCCTGCGGTTAGTTTGACTCCGGAGAGCCTGGTAAAACAACAACCACACACAGGGTAAATCGGAGCGCTAATGCTTCCCGTAATAGCTATTAGGAAGAGATAACAGATAGGTTTATTATTAATTATTCTTATTATTGAAGAATACACGTTAGAGGCTGCGGCGCTGAACGGATCAATCACAAGACAATGCAGACGGTACATGGAATCAATGTAAGTTTCACTACTCACAGGAATACTGGATGCTTTCCGTGCTGGCCAGCCAACGCGTATAGGGATTATCACTGGTATCATAGAAAGGGTTTTTCAAAGGCAGAGTCTGAACCCCCTCCAGTGGGTTTTGCCCCAGAACTCCGGATTTCTTGGGTGGCTCCGACCCCTCGTTCTCTTCATCCGCTCCTTCAACGAGGGATCCCTCTTCATCGTTGGTGTCAGGGAGATCTAGGATGTCCTTTACAGAAAACCCCGTCTTTGTGTTGGTCAGAGACATATTCTGGCCAAATTTATGCAGGAAAGTTGGAGCACCAGTTTGTCAATTCGCTGTTGCACAAGCCACACACACCCCACAAACACCCCAGGAAGAGGGGAGGGTGTGTGTGTGTGTATATGTTGCTGGGGGGGGGGGGACGTTAAGAATAAAAAATAACGAAGGCTGGTGTGGGGGGAGACGCGGGGGGGGGGCGAGGAAAAAGCGGCTGCGATATAGATAGATATTTTACAGCCTTGCTCTGCTGCAGAGGGGGGGAAAAATCACGGAGCACAAGTGGCAACCAGCTTCTGAAATAGTTTGTAACTCCAGGAAAAATGCCAAAGTGCGTTTACTTCAGGGTCTCGTTTAAACACACGGATCTGGTGCCTGCTGCTTGAAAAAAACCAGCCATTGCTGGAGAGAGCAGTCCATATAAGGTTGGTCTCCACATATGAACCTGCAGAGAGGAGGGGAAAAAAAAATACATTAAAAACGCCAAAGGTTGGCCACGTGTGGGCGGGTGCTAGGAGTCAAGTGGATGAAGACAGTGTTTGCAGATGTGAAATTGCGGGGTTTGGGGGAGATTGGAGTCTCCACCATTGGTTCTGTAGCACATGATGAGTGGTATAACGTGTCAATTAATTACAAAGATAGGGAGGGCCTTTCTGCACGGTATTTACATACAAAGGAGCTCCAAGGAGCCCGATATTCCACACACTTGAAAGTACGTTTTAAACAAATTGCTTCGGGAAAAAAACAACATCTTTGCATTCATTGTCACCCTGCACTGATGTAAACTGCTTTGTAGCAGGCTGGAAAATTGACTATTTACAGCGAGCGACTTGAAAAGGAAATCTATTCCAATTATTGGTGGTCCCCTAAACAAGATGGCAAGAGACCAACTTGAGCAAACCTCCTAGGTCAATATTTTGGTTGAGGCTTAAGGCTGAGTACTATAAATTAAACAGCAAGTAATTGATTCTAGTGTGCTCCGAAATCAACCAAACTGGAAATACATGTAATCAATCGGTACCCAGGCAGGCTCTGACGATTTCGGTGTGTTGTTTGCAGAGAACTAATTTGTTTCTCTCGCTCTTCTCCCCAGCAAGATCGCTTGCTAATTTGGATGGATGTGCAGCGTTTAGAGGTAGGACTTAGAAAGGGAATGCAGCCAGATGTTTAATTTAGGCGTTGAATTTGGAGGGTTGTTTTTAATAAGACATTTAATAAGTGGGTCTCTCTCACAGCCATTTGCAGACACATATATTATAGAGGCGTATGAATAGCAGCGTCCGCGTTTTGAAAATCCTCCTTTCAAAATAGCAACGCTAAATAACACCCAGCTATCCGTGCGTCCATAACACTTTCTTATTGCGGCTTTATTTCACATTTCACCCCCAACCCCTCCCTCCCCCCTGACTTAAAAGCCCGTGCGCGCCCCGATTCCACTGGGGACATAGGAAACGGAGCTAATCGAAGCCTTTTTAGCAAATTCTCCATGGGCTCATTCCCCACGTCTCCAGTCCACACGGCTGTGCTCCGCTTCTTCCCTCGCTTCGCTTCGCGCTAGCGCAGGACTTTGTTCAGCTGGGAGGGGTTCATGGTCCGGAGCCCTGCCTTGGGTCTGTGCGGAGGGTCCTATTCTCTTTTTGACCTACTAAATGAACCATCCCAGTGCGCCTCCCCCTCCCTGCAGCTCCCTGGGACAGACACCGCTCTCTATTGTTTCTCTCTTGTGATATTGGGGTGGGGTTTTCGCGTGTGCTACATTTTGGACAAGCCAACTTGATGCCACGATCCTCGAGGAGTTCTGCCCTTTAACGGGATCTCTGCGGGGGGAGGGGTTGGGGGGAATTAAAGATGGGGAGTTAAAGGTGAGATTTGCAGCCCTCCCCGTTCCTCCCTCTTCCCCACCCTTTTGGGGATGACCAGAGGATAGAAGTTGCCTTGACTTTCCCTCCCAAGAACTGGGCATGTTTCAAGGAGGTGCTGGGGCAGAAGGGGCACCGCAATTTATTATTGTTGATCAGTTTATTTTGCTGTCCCTCACCCTGCCTCCCATCGAGTATGTGATGTGGGTGACAATGCCTTAGGGTTTTAGCAAGGCCCTGAGCGCATCATGGGTGGTCGGACCCGGGCAAACACAAATACAAACCGATTGCTAAGCTGCGGACAATGGGCGAAATGTAGACAAATGTCCGGCTTCTGTTGGAAGCTTTTGTCCGAGCTCAGTTTTTGCATTTATTTCAGGGGCGAAATAATACATGATTGAAGCCCTCTTTCAATGTGTTCTAACTGTTTGGAATAAATCGGAGGTTGTTGGTAGTTGTCATGGCATTCAACTGCTTTCAATGGACTATCTCTTCATTCATTTCGGAATCCTTCCACAATATTAAGGAAACTCCTTCATGTTGACGCTCACTGGCTCTTCTTTCCTCTGCATTCGAGGCGTTCTCTCTCTCTCTTTTTTAATTTTGAAAAAAAAAAAATTCAATCCAGGACTAACCCTGTATTTATTTCTTGATCACTTTTCCTTAGCCATCTGGGAAACGCAGCAAACTAAACAAAGTGAGAGGATTACGTGTGTGTGTGTGTGAAAATTATGTCGTTCATAACACAAACAGCAACGGCACTGTGGACCCAACAGCTAGGACTCAATAAAAGAAACCACCTCCGATAACGATAAGCCCACAGCGCAAGAATTCAAGCCATCACGGCAGCGCAGGGTTTGCGTGGCAAAGAAAAGCCAAAATCGAAGGTGGAAGACGAATTCACAGCACAATATTTGTCGTGTAGCAGAGGGTTGCAAAGTTTCCTTGGTGGGGGTGGGGGAGGAAGATAAATGAATTGTAGAGAATTTCCTCTGGGGAAGACTAAACAATTGACAGTGGGCATGCTAACTAAAGATTTCTAATAAGAAAATCCAGAGTAATTAGGACCTGTGAGATTTGATCAATATGAAACCAGCTAAACACCACACACAAGCTCACTCACTCACTCACTCTGTGATGAACCTGTTGTCTCCGTTCCCGCAGACCACCTGATAGGTAAATATTTTCCTAAGGGAAAACCAGGGCTCCTGGACCATTAATCACGCTGCAGTTAGCCAATGGTCCATTGAGAAGCACACACCGGCTGATCAGCACAGTTGGACTGTGACCAGCTAGTCTCCTTTGTACACAAAGACCTGCCATAAAAGTCATAATTTTGTCCCTCACCCCCGCCTCCGTATTGAACGCTTGGTCCAACTTAGAAACACAGCTCCGGACAAGTTCCCACAACTATGGTGGAATCACGTGAGTAAAAATCAAACCCAGTTTCCCGATTGTTTAACAAGGTCAGTTTCATGATCTAAGGGGGCTGGAATGAGCGTGTGTTAATCTGCCTTCTCTCTTCCAGTCTCCCCCTCGCTCTCTCTTCTGGGTCTACATTTTGCTTTCGCATCGGGGCTGCTTCGAAGCGCACGTGTAACCGCGTCCAAACCGAACTGTGTGTGGGTTGTGGCAAACGACTGCGCAGCCCAACTTCAGAGAACCCCCTTTTTGAGACAGAGACCCCCAAATAGCGAGAGAGGAGCCCCTTATTTCAGAGAACAAAACTGGCTTTAGTGAGGGTACAAAGGGGAATCGCTTGTTCCCCCTCGCCAGAAGAGCCCCTGGCCCACACAACAGGTGTGTGGTCCATAGGAGTAAGGTTTACAAACTGGCCTGCTGCGGATGATGACGTGACTAGGTGATGAAATGGACACACCGCACTGTGGTGGATTCTGTGTAAAGATAACGATCGCCTAGATCAATCTAGCTGCTCCACAGAAGGCTTATTTCAAGACAGCCTTTCCCAGCTCTGGTTTAATAATTGTGTGTGGACGCTTGATCCGCATTGCATCTTCTTCTAAACTTTTTCGCTTCCCTTGTCCGATTTTTGTAAATATCCTCCCTGAATTTCTTACACTTTGTTCTCTTGTAACTGGATCCTTCCTTTGCCCTCTTCCCCATTATATTTTGGGCTAACCCTCCAGTTCTTACTCCGGTTCTAGGTGAGAGGGCCAGACAGTGTGAGTGGCCAGGGTGCGTCGGGAGGTGGGAAAGAAGCAGGGAGACCTGGGCATGGTGAGATAAGTCCCCCACCTTCCCCCAGTGGAGTGGTTCGCCTACGCGGGAATTGTGTTTCTAAACATCGGACGGCTCATTTCTGGGATTTTTAATCGTCAGATTTAGGACCGACACTGGCGCCAGAGAGGCATTTCGGGAAGATCGCATCAATATCTAGACTCTTCAAGACCTCCCTGTCCGTGTCCTGCTGGCATGAGTAGCGCGGGTAACTTGGGGAGGTCCCTTGCAATATGATCTCTACTGATTAAGAGTCAATCGATCAGCAAATCCTAACAAACATAAATAAATAAATAAATGCCGGTATGGATAGACACACGGACACACGCCACAAAATCTCGCAAAGCGTCAGGCAAATTGCCTTGCCGCAAAGCCTTCGGCCGACCCTGAAAAACCGAGAGAGCGCTGCCCCTGCTGCTTAGAAATGCTGGAATGCTCCTCCAGACAGATCCTGCTGAATTTAAGCCCCGGAATTATAGGATGGAGGGGTTATTTGAACAGCCGAGCAAGAGGCTGAAAAGGAGAGGTGCGTGTACACAGGATAAGTGGCGACACTTCAGCACAAGTGCCCTCTAGGAGTGGGGAAGTGTTTACCTGTTTACTTTTACAGGTAGCGTTCAACCAGGAGGCTTTTTGCCTTTGCCACTCGTTTCTGGAATGCGGCCTCCTTGAACCCCCTCCCCTAATGCTGCCTCGCAGCCCCGGGAAGACTTTTCCACAGCAGCAGCTTCAGCCGGGGCGGGGAAGAGAGGCAAAGAGCCCCTTGCCCCGAATGAACGAGGCTGCACTCCGAAAACACAGGCAGCCTCGGCTAGGGTTAGGCTCCGCTCCCGGCCGCTGCGCCCTGGGAAGAAAGGTGCGTTCGCACTTGCGAATTAAAGGGTGAATTTCTCTACCAAGGCAGGACACGCCACACATGCGAATGGCAAGCCAGGAACATAGCAAGGGCGGCGTGTTAAAACGTGTTTCCCCGTCTGTCAGCCCGCTCAGCTCCCCCAGTCTCCCAGAACCAGACAGCAAATCGTGGGTCTATTATCTAGAGCGAGCAAAAGCGGTGGCTTGGCTTAAAGTGTCGTATAGAGACAAGGAACTAGCCAGTCAAAACAACTACTTGGCCTTGATAGTTCAGAGCCGAATGAAGCGACATGCATTCGTTTTGCTAGTGGTCAGAAAGGTTTCCAGTCATTAAAAAGTACAAGGTCTCTCCATTTATTTTAAGCCACTAATTTGTTTGACTTAATTTTCTCCTCCTGAATGAAAAGGTGTTTAACAGAAGTCCCCTTTTTCTCCCGGTACAGTATATGGGGCTGACCTCTAACCCATCACAACATCCCATCTCAGATAACAGCCTTCAAGTGGATTAGTTTATTGTTTGATTAGAGCAAAGGTGCAAGAAATTGTTTTCATTCACTCCAGACAAACAAACCATATTGCACCTTAACGCTCTGGTGAGGATTAGTGAAGCTGACACAAAGCCTTTGTTCGAGGAGAAGGTTTATTTTATCTTTGGTTTGATACTCTTAGATAGAAGACACTTGAAATCAATGGGAAAGGAAAATATAGCCCCGTCTACTTCTGATAATTCTTATGAAGAGATTCACCTTCGAAAGATGCCAGGAAACAATGCAGGCTTTGTTTTATAATGTTGCAGGGGGGAAAAGGAGAGATGCATCCGTAAGAGGTGTCATCTTTTGTTGTTGATTAAAAAAAATGTATCAGACAAGAGCTCTTTCCCTGAATAGACAACTTAAAAACGCAGGGCTTCGGAGCCCAGAATTTTATAGCCTTATTATATATGTGAGCATACATGCACCTATGTAGAAAAAACACATTTAAGGGGGCGAGCTACTTCGCTTGACACCAGTATTCTGGTTATGTTTTGCAAAGCACCTTGCAAGGTCTAGGGCAATCAAGAGAGCGAACAATAAATAGCAGCCACAAACACTCAGGTCTAAGCAACAAGAAAGGCGATTGAAATAAAGACCTGCCCATGTGCAGTCCTGGCTTGGAGGTTTAACAAAGATCAGCGTTTCCCTTTGCCTCGGAGATTGTAGAATAACAGAGCATCGCAACCCCTTAAATTGATTTTAAAAGGCTTCATTGACAATAATGGGGAAGGGTTAATGTTTCTGAAATTTCCTTCTCTTTTCATGGCTGGAGAAATTGCAGAAGCAAAGACTTTCACCGTGTTTTAAACATAGAAAAATACGCTCTGATCTGCCACATCTCGTATTACCTTCCTCTGTCAAGGAGTCAGAGCAATCTGCTAGCCAGGCAGTGAAAATGCAATCTTCCCTTGCCTTTCTCACAGAGAAACAATTAAACCGTGTTCAGGACATAGGAATCTAAATGAGCTTTTCATGATTATGATTATTCTTTGGGGTTTTTTTTCCTCCCCCAAGCCCCAACTATGATAACACATTCTCAATTCACCATCAACCCCCCCGGAGTGGTAAAAGTGGAATAGAAATTAGGTCTCCCCCCCGTCCCCCGTGGGCTAATCGGTCACATTGTGGGTTATGTCAGACCCGAGGGCACATGTTAGGACTTTGATAAATGCACTTTAATGAGATCTTTGAAATATATTGCCAATACAAATCATAGGACATACAGACGCCTTGGCAGTGTGTTCCCGCAACTTACGGAAGCAAGAAGCCGGGAGATTTGTGCTTCGCTGGGCTTGCGACATTGGGAACCAGCTAGTTGCCGATTTTTTCTGTAAAAGCTTTAAGTCTAGCCCCGGGCGTATCCTTTCCGTTCCAGTCTATTATAACTGTTTTATTTGTAAGTCAAATGTTTGGTCCCCCCAAGCAAACCCTTCAGCTTTATTCGTTCGCATCTTTCTAATGATTAAACGTGTCCCAATGAGATTAAGCATTGTCAGCCTGTCTCAGAAGTGTTCTTTCTTCCAAAGGGGGAAAAAACCCACCACCCCAACTCTGTCTGATAAGGGCAATTTGAATGCAGGAGATTTATAATTTCTTTATGAAATACGGTGCTGAAAGCACTTGCTTATCTGAATTTACTTCGTGTATCTCTACCCCGTAGGTAGGACTTTTTTTTTTTTAAAGCCAGCCATTGATAATGATTTAAATATATATATATTTCAAGCTTAAAAGGATGGACTGATTTTGAAACTGAAATTAATTTGAGGCACATTAAACGGAGCTCCTCGGTCCCGTTGAGTCTTGAAAGGAAAGGAGGAGATGGATTTGCGATTTTAAAATCGATTGCACATACGATTGATTGGAAAACCCAACTCCGAGGAAGAGCTGAGTTGCAGACCACAGCATCCAACCACAACGACGCTGCTGCTCTGGGGTGCAAACGCAAGGGTTAAACATGGGCCAAAGCGCCTGGTGAAGTTAGCAAGGTGGAGATGAAATCAATAAACCCCCCGTGCAAGAGGCAGAGCCAACCGAGTGCAAATTGTTACTTTTGAACCATTCCTGATCCTCTGGCGGACTCTACCGACTCTAGTGAGAAATGTCCCAGCAGCCGCTTCCCCACAAGGAAGGGAGTTGTAAGCTACCAGCTTACCTTTCCTCCCCAGGAAACCCCCAGCCCCAGAGCTTTCAGGATGACAAACCCACCCAGCCGCCTTGTGTCACGGGCTTTGCTGCGCTCTCGGGGCAGCAAAGGGAAAAAGAATAAGCCCCCCCCCCCCAAGCAGCTAGGGCTGTGAAATTACCCACCCACGTTGAGTGTGGGGGGGGTGTCTTTGGGGAAGGGGGGTTCTGATCTCTCGAGTGTCTAGAGCAGGCAGGTAAATGACCTGAGGAAGTTCAGGGTTGGAGCGAAAGCAATCGCTAGCCGGAGCGCTTTGGATGGCCACCTTCCCTCTTGCAGCCCCGGCTGGTACCCCAGGACAAACGCGTCTTGCTGGCCGCTGAAGCAAGACCTGAGCGCAGCCCGACGTCTCCTTCTCGCAGGGGGTGAGACTGACACCCCCACATTGCACCCCCCCTGGGGCTGGGTAGCCTCCCCCAGCCCCGGCCACGCCACCTCCGCCCCCCTCTTCCGCCGAATTCACAAGCAGCTGCTCACCTTTGCACTGCGCAAACCCAGGTAAAACTTTAACCGGCTCCGTGCGCGGGAAGGGGGCGGTGTGAAAGCGGCGGGGCTCGGGTGCAAACCGCTATGGCTCCATCCTCTCCCCCCAGCAGAAGAACCCCCCTTCCCCACCTGCTGCTTCCGGGCCAGGAGAGATCAGCGTCCGTTTCAACAAGATGGGGGGGGGGAAGGGACGAACCCCCCCCCCCAAAGCCCTTGGGAAGCCAGCTAGCACCTTGCACCCAGGTGATCCAGCTTGGGGGACCCTGCTCGAGTTCCCCCCCACACACCTCGTTTGGAGGACCCAGTGCCCCTGGAACAGCGATGTCTGTCCGACCAGCTCCCCAGCCACCTGTCCGTCCTCCCCTCCAGCTAGCTCGCCACCCATATCGCCAGCCAGCCACGTAGCCACCGCTCCCCCCCAGACAGCCACCTCCGCTCTCCACCCGGCGGTGCCGTGTAGACGCATCTTTCCCTCCCCAATCGCTCTGCCTTGCATTGAACAACCTCACCCCCAAGGCGAATCTACCCCCCACCCCCCCCGTTTGCTGTACTTCGGGGCGCTGCCTAGACCCCCCGCAAAGTTACATCGAGCAGCCAGCCCCCCTGCAGGTACCTGGCTCCCTCGCCAGGAGGAAGCGCAGCGGCTCACCTGGAGCGGCTCTGCGGTGGGCGAGGCGCTGGCGAGCTCCGAAGGCGCCGGTCTGCAGCGCCGGGGCCTGCGGGGGCCGCTTTATATAGCCACGCGCGACGCCCCGGCTCGGCGGCCCCTCACATTGTCTCCGGCGGCGCTTTGCAGAGCCGGCCCCGTGGCCGCCCGCCCGGCGCTCCCCCTCCGCGCCGTGCCCCGCGCTGTTTGCTTTCCTCCGCGGCGCGTGACGCGCGAGGCGAAATATTGGCCATATGGTCGGCGGTCATAAATTGGGGAGAAGCGCAAACACGCCGGTTCCTGGAAGGCCCGGCGGCGCTCCAGCCGGCGGAACCGTGCCCGCCCTCCCAGGCAGGCCCCTTCCCACCCGGCTCCCCGGCCCCGGCCAGGAGTTTGGCTCCTTTCCCCCCGGCCCCACTTGCCCACCTTGCATGTTGCAGCCGGTGCAATGTCCAACTCTCCCCCCCCACCACCCCGGCCTCCCTCCAGCCCGGGCCGCCCTCCATAAATCGCTCTGTAGCTAAGACGCCGTAAAAACCAAAGAGCCAGATGTGGCACGTTATTTATGTGTGAAAGCCCGTTTACATTAGATAGGCTGATCCAAGCTGTGATAGCACCGGGCTTGCGAGAGATTAGAGCTGGCTTGTCCACCGGGGGCCCCAGCTGCAGCTCGCTTTCTTGGGGGGGTGGGGGGGTGGGTGAGGGGTCGTGGCTGAGTTTCCCTGGAGCCCAGGAATGAAAAGTGACCATCGTTTGCAATAGCCTCGTGCAAAAGGTAGAAGATGATTGTGTGTGTCTGCCACTGCTGGCAAGAAAGGGCTTTCCTAGCCTGGGACCTCTCCTATCCCACCCCCTTAAGTAAATAATTTTGCTCTTTCTTTTTGCACACCAACGGGCTAGATCCAAAAAACAACCGCCCCCCCCCACATTTATCGGGCCAGATCCTGCCACCCTTCCTCACCCTGAGTAGTATCTTACGCTGGGAGGAGCCCCCTCCCACTGAAATCAGTGGGACTATTCAAGGAGTAAAAACAACAAGGAGGACTTGTGGCACCTTAGAGACTAACAAATTTATGTGGGCATAAGCTTTCATGGGCTAAAACCCACTTAAGGTGTCGTCAACAAGAGCAAGTGTGGCAGAATCAGGCCCATGAGTGTTTTTTTTTTAAATCCAAGGGTCTAAAACTGCAGTTAACCCTTCCCTCCCACCACACTCTGTAAACTTGAAGAGCCAGATTGTGATCCCCATGAGTGAGCAGTTACTCACCTGAGACCACTCACTCGTGGGACTATGGCCTTCCTCCGTCCCACATCAGATTTTGCTGTGATTTTATTGAAACCAAATTCCCTCCCTTCCCTTCATTTTTTAAAACTCCAGCCAGACCCTTGCCTTCTCTTTGAAAAGTTCCAACCTCTAGGGCAGGGGTTTTCAACCTTTTTCTTTCTGAAATCCCCTCCAGCATACTCTAAAAACTCCATGGCCCATGTGTGCCACAATAACTGGTTTTCTGCGTATAAAATCCAGGGCATTAGGGGATAGCAACCAGGGCCCCATGCCTGGTGCCCCATGCCCATGAAGCTACATTGCCCAGGCTTTGGTTGCAGCCCAAGGTGATGTAGCTCAGGGCCCTGGCCTTCTGTCCCATGTGGTGGAGCTTCAGCTTTCTAACCTGGGCCCCAGCGAGTCTAATGCTGGCCCTGCTTAGCGGTCCCCCAGAAACCTGCTCGCAGCCCCCCAAGGGGCCCCAGACCCCTGGTTGAGAACCACTGTTCTAGGATACATGTTCCTTAGCTAAACATGCTTCCTTTAAGGTTACCCAACACTTCTCAGTATAAGACCCTGTTTTCAGTTACTTATAACTTTGTCAAACTTCAACTATTTGGACGGCAGTTTTCCATGCCGGGTGTCTGCCTCCGGCTGAATTCGTTAAGAGGGAAAGTTTCAGCAAAAATGGTCCAGCCCTTTCCGAGAACGAGACGAGCAAAGAATCCATTGTTTTGCCCCTGTTCAAAGAATTCTTACCGCTGTTTAGTTGAGAAGCTCTTGTACCTCCATGCTTTGGAGCAGGGATTTGGCATTTGGGAGGAGGGGTGCCGCCGTGTCAGGGATGTGTCTTGTGACCTCCCCGTGAAGAACTGCCCAGATCTGGACAAGTTATAAGCCTTTGGAAAAACCTCAGTTTGCATATGCTCCGTTAGAGTTTGGGAGCTAAATTCTCTGAAGATTCTGTCTGCACTGAGCATGCTCCAGCCCAGAGTTGCAGGAGCGGAGCAGCATTTTCTCTCCAATTGCTGCTCCAGGCCACTGTGGTGATGAGCACAGGAACTGAGAGCAGGGAGACTGCCTAGCCTATGCTTTAGTACTCTCCCTGCTGGTGGCCAGGCAGCATGCAGGAGGAGGCAGAAGGGATACAGAAGGGACCAGAGCCAGACTGGAGGGGTGTGAGAGGGCATCAGAGAGAGTTGAGTTGGACAAGGATCCTGGGGGGAGCCTGGGCCTGCAAGCTGCGAGTGGGGATGAAGACTGGGGCTGGTTGGTCAGGGAGACTAGCACAAGGAGCTGGGGTGGAGGCAGGAACTGGACAGGGACAGGCTGGTGGGAAACAGAGGCAGAAGGGTCTGTGATTCCAAGAGCCCACTTCCCTGTTGAAAACCTGGAACAGAGATTTCTAAGACTCACCATTCCCTTGCTGTCAGCAAATATCTGTGAAACCCACCCACTCCATGCGTCTGAAGCAGTGGGTTTTTTACCCACGAAAGCTTATGCCCAAATAAATCTGTTGGTCTTTAAGGTGCTCCCGGACTCCTCATTGCTTTTGTGGATACAGACTAACACGGCTCCCCCCTGATACTTGCCACCATTAACGGGTGTGTCTCATCCTCCTCTGCTGCTTGTCCACATATAAGATGACAACCTACTGCTGCTACCTGTGTTAGTTGGAGTGGCAGAAGTTGGTCCTGTGGATTGAACGGTTCCAACATGGCTGCTGAGCCGCCTGGGTGCCAATGTGATTCCGCATAATAGACTTCCTGGTTTTTCAGACTGTATCACTTATATGCACAAGGAGGGGCGGGCAAATGAAGGTTACACAGGCAATCTGAATTCTGGCATTTCCTACAGCTGACTTTGCACCCTAACTGTTCTTGTAACATCGTTCTGGATGCAATCAATATTTGACAAACCAGAATGATAAAGGGATTCTATTTCCCATTTGAAACGATAGCAAAAGAGATTTTTGAAAGACCCAGAAAGAAAACAATCCCCATATTCATTTAATAAATGCACTAGGTAACATCTAAAAGTGGGAAGAAGATGTGTTTGGAGCTGGAAAAGTAGACAATTCAACAGGTGCAAAAAAAAAAAAAGCTATAAAACCACCTTTTAACTTTAGGTTCTGAATACAAACAATGCCTCTCCAACTACTACTTACCTCCTGGCTCTTCACAGTGCACTAAGAAACCTTTAATTACTGCCATAAAATCTCATGCAATAGTGAGCCCAGCAGTGGTTGTTGCTCTTGAAATGGTTACTACTGTACTTCACACTTCCTCTGGGAAATTAAGTCTTTATCTGTTGTTAAAAACAGGTTACAAGGGGGCTTTATTGAAGGGTTTATTTCACAGGTGGGGCGAGACTTTTTGTTGTTTGTTTGTGTGTTCCACATTGAGACGTTGCTTCATGTCAGAAAGGGCCAGATTCGGATATTGTTACTCCAGCTGAGTAGCAGCTTACTCCATAAGTAGCTCCATTCACATCAATGGGCATACTCAGCAGAGGCTGGATAATCAGTTTGTAATCTAGCCCATACCAAGGATTAAAACGTTGTTGGGAGCATCGCAGTCTCCTCTCGTCTGGTCTCCTTGCCGCTGTAGGAAGGGAACCAACCACACCAGGTTGTTGCAGCACAAAATTTAAGAGAAGATGTGGACAAATGGGAGAGAATCCAGAGGAGAGCATCCACAATGATAAAGGGTTTAGAAAACCCAACCTATAAGGAAAGGTTAAACAAACTGGGCATTTCTGATCTGGGGAGCAGAAGACTGTGGAGAGGCCTTATAACAACCCTGAATATTGTAAGGCCTATTATACAGAGGACTGTGATCAATTGTTCTCCATGTCCACTGACGGTAGGACAAGAAGCAATGAGCGTAATCTGCAGTGAGGGGGATTTAGGTTAGACATGAGGAAAAACTTTCGGACTGTAAGGATAGCTAAGCACTTGAATAGGTTACCAAGGGAGGTTGTGGAGACCCGCTCGGTGGAGGTTTTTAAGAACAGGTTGGACAAAGAGCTGCCAGGGATGGTCTAGGTTTACTCGGTCCTGCCTCAGCACAGGGGGCTGGCCTTGATGACCTCTCAAGGCCCCTTCCAGCTAGGCCTGATGCCGTTAGACCTCTGGGAGGGGGCGGAGTCAACGCTCCTCCCACTCCCTGTCCCCTCCTGACAACCTGCATGAGTGGGGGAACGTAGCAACTCAGTGGAGCCTGCTTCCCCCTTGGGCTCCGGAAGCACTGGGATGGCAAATCGACGCCAGGGAGCAACCCATGGGAATAAGCAAGTCCTATGCTGAGCGAACAAGGTTGGCAAAATCTGGCCCTAAAATACTAGTACCATGAATAAGGCTATGGGACTATTAGTAGAGGGAGGTGTTACTCCGGCAGGTATGTGGTGGGGGGTGTCCAAATCTGCCCAATGGGTTGGAAGACCAGTAGAGTAAGAAGGAATAAAGATGAAGATCCCAACTTTCCATGAAAAGGCTCAGACTCCCCGTAGGTTCTTCTCCCATTTCAGCTCTGACTGCCACTTAATTGCTGTCTGTCCTAGAGCTGCTCAGTTGGTCCTTGGTGGCTTTACAGAAGACATGAAATAACTCACACTTCTGCGTTTTAGTAGAGGTGAAGCCCAGAGGGAGTTGTCTGGTTACGATCTGTGCTGTCTCACCTCTGTCAGATATGGTCCCTCTCACCACAATATGTGGGCACCTCACTACCTCTCAGTGTTACCCGTGTGAGGTGGGGCTATGCCCTGATGCCCATTTTACAGATGGGGAACTGAAATATGGAGGCTAAGGGCCAGATTTTCAAAGGCACCTAAGCACATCTGAAAATCCCTCTAGGCACCTACCTGTATCTTTAGCTGCCTAAAAAATACTTTGAAAATCTGTCCTTAGTAATATGCCTAACATTACATGGGAAATCTGCAGAGAGGAGAGATTTGAAGCCAGCTTTCCAAAGTCCCAGAGGAGAACCCCAACCATAGGGCCACCTTTCTACTCAACTCTC